ATACTGATTAATTTTAGGTGAAAATCTACCGAGCCGTTTTCTTGTAATTAACTGTTGAAAAAAAGTGTTAAATTTTCGTCGACATTTAAGCTCATCCTACCGAACCGATTTTAAAATATCAAAAACTGTTCGAAAGATATTAGTTGGGAATGATACTGATTAATTTTAGGTGAAATCTACCGAGCCGTTTTCTTGTAATTAACTGTTGAAAAAAAGTGTTAAATTTTCGTCGACATTTAAGCTCATCCTACCGAACCGATTTTAAAATATCAAAAACTGTTCGAAAGATATTAGTTGGGAATGATACTGATTAATTTTAGGTGAAAATCTACCGAGCCGTTTTCTTGTAATTAACTGTTGAAAAAAAGTGTTAAATTTTTGTCGACATTTAAGCTCATCCTACCAAACCGATTTTAAAATATCAAAAACTGTTCGAAAGATATTAGTTGGGAATGGTACTGATTAAGTTTAGGTGGAAATCTACCGAGCCGTTTTCTTGTAATTAACTGTTGAAAAAAAAATTTAAGCCGATTTTCATGGAAATTTTTTTGGCGATATACATCATGGTCTTATAGAACTTACTGTAATATTACGGCCTAACGACAAGTAGTTTAATTTTAAAAATTCGTCAAAGTTTGCTAAAATTATTATCGTTTTTTTTAAAAGTAGGATTAATGAAGTATATTATTTACATTTTTTTTTGATTAAGTCGATTATTTACACATTTCGGGAAGTTCATGTAACTTGCCTCAAGGCTAAATACCAAACCAACTAGTTTATACAAATACCGTAAAATTAATTATGAATTTAACTAAATTTAACACCACCTTAAATCAGGCTAAGAATTTTGACATTTGCATATTTCAGCCAGCATGAAGTTGGCGACGAAATAGAAGTTAGACGTCAAGTTGAAATGTATTGGATTCATAACTTTGACAGCTAAAACCTGTCAAGATCATTATTATCACAGCCAAACAAGTATTATTATTATTATATTGTCTAATACCAAGATGATAGCCTTTATCTTAGACAATATATTACGTTAAAATACAATATATCTTGTTCCCTCATAGCAAATATTGCAGAAAAAACGAAATATATCTGTCAATTCCAAGACAGTATGAAGTATTTTGGTTTAGTATTATAACATCAGAAGTGTTTCAATTTTATTTCATTTACTGAACCTTCTATTTGTTGTTTGTTGAGTTTTAGTTAGCTTCCACTGAATTAAGGTTAAGATCGAAACCAAACCTAATAATGTATACAACGTAACCCTAACAAAAATAATGAATAAAATGTAACCCTATGCGTAAAACGTAAGCCTAAATTATTTTTTAAAACAAAATTATAACTAAAACATTGTATAAAATCTAAGCTAGACTAAAATGATCTTTGAATGAAAAGAATCCTAAAACATAACCCTAGCCTATAATGTAAAAATTAAAATAAGAACTAAATAGGCGCGTAATCAAAAAGCCAAAGCGAATAAACTTGAACGGACATAAAAAAATAAACACAAAAAGAATGAATCATAACGAAAAGCTAAAAAATATTAAATATGAAACAAGCCTACTTAATAAAAAACAATACGCCGACACAACGCTGATATAAAAATGAACAAAATGGCCGACGCGCTCTTGACATCTGAAATGCTTGACAGCTTGATATCAGTCTTCGCCGGCAACTTCATGCTGGCTGAATTATGCAAAGTCTTAGCTTGATTTAATGCCTCCTCTAAATTTAACTTTAGTCGTCTGACATTAGAAGCAAAGGGTATGTTTTTAGGTTTTTAGAGAGACAAGACATTCTTCTAAAATTTAGAATCTAACTTCACAACAGTTCTCTATGCATCAACTGTCAACACCAAAAACGACCTTTTCAATTTTTTTAACTTCCCTAAAGAGAAGTTTATGTTTTCATAAAATAAGCCGATTCCCTAATTTTATGTTTTCTCGACGTTTCAAGCCATTCTGAATCGAATGAGACCATATTTAGAAAAAGTATGTGTGTGTGTGTGTATGTTATCAGATTTTTTGCGGTCAAGCGACCTTTTCTCAAAAACGGCTTGACCAATTGCAAAAATTTAAAAGCCATTCGATGAATTTCGATGAGGACTATTATTTGTCAGTTTTGTGCGATGATCGGCCAAGCTGTTTCTTTATAAATAGCAGAAAAGTGAAAAATTTTTCAGCCCACAATTCTGAATCGATTTTGAAAATTCAAGCACCGTTCGAAAGATATTGGTTTGGAATCGTGCTGATTAGTTTGTGATATACAGTTTATATGTAAAATACGCCTGATGGTACAGCAATTAATTGACTTTTCATAGTTTTTACTACCAAGAAAGAAGAATTAGATAGTGTTGCTATAACAACCGTACAATTAGCCTCATAGAAAAAAAATACAAAAAAAGAGTGCAAAAAAGAGTTGTAAAATATGTCATTTAAGTAAAATAAATACATGTAACAATTTTGAATAATGTTACTTTTTAATATTGTAACACTCGTGATCCACACATTTTTTAATGTCTATTATTATACATATTTATATAATAAATTGTAAATTATATATTAATAATAGCATTAAAAATATGTATAGTATTTAAAAACAATAATGTAATTAAATAATGTCATACTTCAAATACGACATGATCGGTTTGTCATTGTAATTAGCATTTAGGACTTGAACCTTCACTAGACAAATGAAGTAATTGCTGAATAATAATAATTCTATAATATTCATTCACACAGCGGATTAATAACGCTTAAACAAATATTGTTTTCACAATTTCACTCATCATGTAATAATTGTGTTTGAAGAACTTCATGTAATTAAAATTAACATACATTCATTGACTGTTTGTTTTTTTTTTTCACTTTTTCGCTGGCGATACAGTCTCATTCTTTGAGTGGCTGTAATATCCATCTTGCCTAGAAAATTTATTTCTAAAAATATATAGTAACCACGAATAATACAAATTATTTCAATAAATTTCCGTTTCTTACATGGCACGGATTTTTCATTTGTTTTTTTATTTTCGCTATAATTATTTACTGAAGACGGGATAAATTATTCTACCAATTCAAAGATGTTTTATTAAATCAAGATTTTTACTAGGACCAGGGCTGGATAAAAATTTTTTTGGGCATTGCACTCATTACGGCACGAATCATTGGCACTCGACTCGGCCGTAACGCTCTTCCGTTGTATTTGCACAGTTTTACACCCTAGTCGCGCCTAAAGGAGTTTTACTAAGAATATTGAATAATTGAAAAACAAAAATAGTAATGTTTTGAATAAAACAAAAAGAAAATAGCATTTGTACTATGTATTTATATTATTAAACAATTACATACAAGTCACTGGTTAGGAGTAACAACCATAGTTGTAACTGAAATATATATTAAATAAATTGCATTTAATATCCTGTGTATCAATATAGGTTGTGTAATGGATAAGGATTATTAGGTCGGGCTGTTTCCAGACTGATTCAACAGTTTTGTTGACTTTTTAATTCCAGTTTGTTCTCTAGTATGTCTTCTTTCATGTCGCATTAATATAGGTTTTGTTTTGAACGTTTTATTGCATATAGGTCGTTCTTCACTATGCACTGATAAATGCGTTATTAAATTACCTGAATGTGAAAATGTTTTATTGCATATTTTGCACTCATATGGTCGTTCTCCAGTATGTACTGTTTTATGTTGCATTACAGGGTCCGGCACTCGAAGTGTAACCAATTGAAAGAGCCATAAATTCAGTTTGGAAAATCAATTTTACTCGATTCAAAGTACAAAATGTGTAAAAATAATACAAAATTTAAGAACAATATACTTTTGCTCGACATGACCACCTTTTGCTTTGACTATGGCCTTTAGACGGTCCAAAAACAAATCGCATTTGGCCGAACGTGATTTGCAGGTATTTTGGCCCACTGGCGGACAACGGCTTTTTTTAGCGCCTCGAGACTGATGCACCCTTTAGTTCGGACCTTGCTCTCCGAAATGGCCCAAAGAGAAAAATCCATAGGATTCGCGTGTGGTGAATTTGAGAGCCATTGTGCGGACGTTTTGAAGTTCGGAACGGTGTTTTTCAGCCATTCTTGGTTCACTCGAGCTTTATGATACGCTGCCGAGCCCTGTTGAAACGTCCATGGTCTGCCACCGAAATGTTGATCTGCCCATGGCTTCAAAGCAACCTTCAGAATACTTTCCCGATGATATCGCACATTTACCTTGACGCCAGGCTCGATGAAAACGATTGGAGATCGCCCATCTGCGGTTACAGCGGCCCAAACCATTATCTGTGGCTGGTGTTGCCTCCTGGTGGCCAGTCGATGGCTCAAATTCTTGTCTGAACGTTCAGTCAAGTAAACCCTATCGTTTTGAGAGTGTGCGAATTGCTTAATTATGAAAATTTTCTCGTCGGAAAACACAATGTTCGGAAATTTACCACTCTCGGCCAGGCGAAGCAACTCCTTAGCTCTCTGAAGTCTCACTTGCTGCTGCTTCGACGTAAGATCATGTGCCTTTTGGATCTTATAAGGCTTGACCTTGAGATCATTTTTCAGTATGCGGCGGATGCTACGGTCAGATGTATTAAGTTCTTCTGCCATTTAATTGGCACTTCGTCGGGGATTTCGCTCGAGTCGCTTTCTCACTTTTTTGACCATCTCATGTGACATTGCAGTCTTTTGGTGACCACCTCCATGACGTTTTGCGATGCTACCAGTTTCATTGTAACGAGTTATGGTGCGATAAGCGAAAACTTTATTCACTTTAAGGTGTTTGAGCCCTCGAATAATCGCTGGTTGTGATTTTCCAGCTAAATATAATGTAATCACACTGTTACTTTTGAAATCCATTACTGATTTCTTTTTTTTGCGTTCACTGTCGACTATATACTTTCGTACGCTTATAAACAATAGTCTAAACTATCATTTAGCTAACTTACTGACAGTTAGTACACGTGCATCAGCTACGCGAGCTGTTTGAAATTGGTTACACTTCGAGTGCCAGACCCTGTAATATAGGTTTTGTTCTGAATGTTTTATTACATATTTCACATGCATAAGGTCGTTCTTCAGTATGCACTGATAAATGCTCTCTTAAAATACTCGACCGTAAAAATCTTTTATTGCATATGTTGCACTCATGAGGCCTTTCTTCAGTGTGACTGATTTCATGTTGTTTTAAATTATTTTTTGTTTTGAATGTTTTATTGCATGTCTCACTTTCATAAGGTCGTTCTTCACTACACACTGATAAATGTGTTATTAAATTACCTATATTTGAAAATGTTTTATTGCATATTTTGCACTCATTACAGCGTTCTCCAGTATGTACTATTTTATGTTGCATTAATATAGGTTTTGTTCTGAATGTTTTATTACATATTTCACATGCGTGAGGTCGTTCTTCAGTATGCACTGATAAATGCTCTCTTAAAATACTTGGCCGTGAAAATCTTTTATTGCATATGTTGCACTCATGAGGCCTTTCTTCAGTGTGAATCATTTCATGTTGTTTTAAATTATTTTTTCTTTTAAATGTTTTATTGCATATTTTGCACTCATTACGGCGTTCTCCAGAATGGACGGCTTTATGTTGTTTTAACATTTTTTTCATTCTGAATGTTTTATTACATATTTCACATGCGTAAGGACGTTCACCTGTATGCACTGATAAATGCTGTCTTAAATTACTTGACTGTGAAAATCTTTTATTGCATATTTTGCACTCATAAGGCCGTTCTCCAGTATGGATCCTTTCATGTTTTTTTAAGTTACCTTTTTCTACAAATGTTTTACTGCATGATTTACATTTGTATTTCAACTTACTAGTTGTCTTATCTTTTCCTGAAACTTTGTCAAATGTTTTGTTTGTACTATCGACTATCGTACTTGATTCACTGATCTCTTCGTTACATAGGGAAGAATTTTCATCTAATACAGTTTTGTTTGTACTAGTCACGTCATATTGGTCATCAATCGTCTCTTGTTTTATTTCCTCGTCAATTGTAATCTCAGATTTTAGAAATTGCTGCAGACATATATCATCATTATCCGTATACAAATCTGATGTATTTTCATAATCATCAAATTCCTGCTTCACTTGAAGATAATCATCGATCGGTTCCGTTTTAATTGTTTTGTTTGAATTTGTTTCTGCAGACATGTTTGGAGTTTGTAGGTTATAATAAACAAACTGGTGATAAGTTCTTAAAAATTGGGAAGTCTAAGTGTATAATAATATATGTGTTACAATATTTACTAATTCGTTTATTGTTTAATATGATATAATGCTAACACTGACCTTTTTACTAAATTTATCTTCGAATTTAACTTTAATAATTCCATAAACCACTTTGACATTTCTCCTCCATTTTGCTTTTATAAACAACAGATCAAGCTGAAGTTAAACACAAATCAGCTATGTGTTTTTCGGCGGCAAAATTTGAAATCCGAAATTATTATTAGCTCAAACTTTAAATTACAATCTAAAAGTCCATCATTAACAAATAAAAAAACTAATTGGGAATTATTTTCTAAATATATTGATGACAATTTATGCTGCAAAGTACCTCTAAAAAGTACAGATTATGTTGATAATGCAATAGGTATTCTCAATAAAAATATCACTGACGCGGCTCGCAAAACAACACCCACAAATGATATTGTTGAGCGATTTTTCTGTCCACTCGAAGCTAAAAGACTCATAGCCTGTAAGAGAAAACTGCGTAGAAGGTGGTAAAATACTCATTTTCCGGATGACAAAGCTAAACTGAATAAAGCTATAAAGGAACTTAAACAATATTTGTTTGATTTAAAAAATAAACATATGGAGTCCTACTTAAGTGATTTGTCTGTTCATGACCATGACGGGTAGAAGTGGTGATTCGTTTTTGGCAAAGGCAGGCCCAGCCGTTTTGGAGATACCAAGATAAATGTGCAAAAAATTGCAGTTTTTGAGAGAACGAAATATCCGATTTAAATGATTCAAAAACCATTTTGCTTGTATTGACGGAACGATTATTTTTGGGAAAAACAAAAAAATTGTACATTATTTTTTTAATTTTGGAGAACTATATTCTTTGAATATCAAAAATCATTCAAATTTTAATTTTAAGTTTATTTGAGATAGTTCATTTTAACTTTGCTGTTTGGTTTATAAAATTCTTACTATTAGTAATATGAGAACAGATCCTTCATTCTAACTCCCCTTATTAAACTCTGTTTAATTATTTTTCATGTAAACTTTTATAAACGTCATCGTCCAATTCATAAGCTCTTAGATTTTGTCTATTAAATACAAATAATGGAAGTTATAGTATTCATAATATATTTGAAAATATTTAATATTATTTAATTTAACGAACGTGTTCATTCGTTTTCAATTATGTGTAATAAATCCACTCCGAATACTTTTAATCATAAATCTACATATATATAAAAATAAGTCGGGTTTTTCTTCCTGACGAAATAACTCCAGAACGCACGAACTGATTTCGACAATTTTGCATTCGTTGGAAAGGTCTCAGGCTCCGCAAGGTTTATAGCTAAGAAAATTAGGGGTGCATGACATCGTGATTTAATGCAAATTGCTGGAACTTCATGCACCGTAATTAAAAATTCGAGTAATGACATTAGTGAGAATTATCAGAATTATGCTTGGTTAAGTCAACGAGCAATTCTTGCCGCAAAGAATAATGATGTACACGCACTGAATTTTACCATTCAATCAAAAATTGCTGGCGATTTGGTGACATACCAATGATTCCGACTGGTCTTCCGTTTGACTTCAAACGATTTTAATTTCCAGTTCGCCTTGCGTTTGCAATACCAAGTCGCAAAGCCAATCGCTTAGTGTTTGCGGGATAAATTCCAAATAGATTATTTAGAAAATCATTGTTTTTCACATGGGCAGTTATATGTTGCCTGTTCATGAGTTGGGAAACCATCCGCTAATTTCATATGTATCAACGTCAGACCAAGAAACAAAAAATGTGGTTTACCAAAGAGCACTTCAATGAAACGGATAATTTGCGGACACGTATAACTCTTCGATTCAGTATTTACATTTGATTCACTTTCATTTACTTAGAGAAGTTCAACTAAAAAACACATCATTTTTGTAATCGAAATAAATTCATTACTGTTGTGTAATAAAATAAAAATTTTCCTTTTCAAATATAAAACAAACAAAAAATTCTTCATCTTTCTCACGAAACCATCTGGTGGCGAAACGGAGTTCGCCGGGTTTGCTAGTTAATTTATATTTTATTGATTAAGTCGATTATTTACATATATAGATATAAAATTAATATAAATATAATTAATATAAATATAAAATTAAATGGAAATAAACTAACAATTAACATCGATAAAATAAAATACATATATTTCAAACATAGAAAAAATACGAGAACACTAATCTAAATATTAAAGTAAATAATAGAGAAATAGAGGAAGTGGAAAGCATAAAATACTCAGGACTGATAATAAATGAAAAACTGACATGGACAGAACATATAAACAAAATAAAAAGAAAGATAGGAACATTAACAGTGGCTTTAAAAAGGATCCACTCTCTCGGCAAAAAAATAAGATACTAATTCTTAAAACGCAAATGATACCTATAATTTTATATGGAATAACAACATGGAACCAAACAACTAAATCTAACCTAAATGACATACAGAGAATAATGAATAAAGCCACAAAAATAGCATATAATTTTCCACATCTAACACCCACCAAATACTTACAGACAGAAACAAATAATGATTCACTAAATAACATAATTAAAATAGAGACATTCCTTTCATGTCAAAAATCTATGGATTATTATATTATGAAGCACCAAATTCAAAATTACATTTAATTTAAAGATCACATAAATCTGTTATAAAAATATAAATCAATTTGGTCTTTTGGTTTACAAAATAAATATAAAACCTATTGTTGATACAAAAAATTACAATAAATAAAATTATTATTATTATTAACTTCCTGTAGGACAGTTATAGTAATGGGCCAAAAATCAAAAATAAAATTTTTTGCATATCTTCACGTTTTGAAGGTTTTTGAACATTTTGGCATTCGTCCAACGTTTTCGAGCGCACGGTTCAACTGAATTGAATGGTTCAAAAAACATTCGATTCCTATTGATAGGGAGATGCACTGATTAGTTTTTGGCAAAGGCAAGTCCAGCAATTACGGAGATAAAGAGCAAAGAGTGCAGAAAATACAAATCGAGTTTTCAAGAGAACAGAGCATCCGATTTGAATGATAGAAAAAACATTCAATTTGCAATGATTGGGAGAAGAGGTGATTAGTTTTTGGCAAAGGCAGGTTCAGCCATTTCGAAAATACAGAACTAAATATGCAAAAAATGGCAGTTTTGAGAGAACTAAGCGTCCGATTTGAATGATTCAAAGAATTTTCTGCTTGTTTTAACAAAAAAAATTGATTTTGGATAAAAACATTATTTCAAAATTTAAAAAAAATTTTTTTTTTTTTGTATATCGAAATTATTTCATTTTAATTTGGATTTTGACTAAAGTTTTAATACACTTTAAACAAATAATTTCAGTTAATATAATTCTTATAAATATTAGACAAAGTTACAATATTTTTTTAAAATCTATTTAAACACATTTAATATTCCTCGAGCATTTCATTACGGTACAGGAAGTTCCAGCAATTTGCCTTAAGGCACGATGCCATACACCACTAGTTTCTATCAGCAGTCATGTTTCAGTTCCTGATTAGATAAATCCATTATTAAATACTTATAATTATTCTCTGGTGTGTACAAGTATGTGCCTTTCCAAATGATTCGATAGTCTAAATCAGGCATCGGCAACCTACGGCACGCGTGCCAGGCTTGGCACGCGACGGCGTTCTGCATGGCACTCTACAAAATAATCAGGGCAATCGCAAATATATCGAGACGAAGTGATTTTTAAATAAGAAAAAATGTTGAAATATAATTACTTATCTAATGTAGCTCGCTAATGTAATTCAATCTACATTGAAGCACTTAAAGATGAATTTTCCAGATGCAAAGACTTTAAAGCTTATGTGCCTAAATTTTCCTTCCTCATAAAACCAGATTTCATAGATCCATCAATAATACCGTTTGATTTTTCAATTTTTGAGTGGATGAATGTTGATGATTTTGAAATGGAAATTATGGAACTAATATCTTTAGAATTATGGAAAACAAAATTTAAGGAATTACGAAAAAATCAGGAAGACGACTCCATGGAAAATTAAATTGTTGGATGACATTGTCGGAAATATTTAATTGTTTAAAGAAAATTGCATGCGTTATCCTTTCACCTTTTGGTTCCACATATCAATTTTACACCCATTGTAGTATTTTTACACCCATTGTAGTAATTTTACACCCATTGTAGTAATTTTACACCCATTGTAGTAATTTTACACCCATTGTAGTAATTTTACACCCATTGTAGTAATTTTACACCCATTGTAGTAATTTTACACCCATTGTAGTAATTTTACACCCATTGTAGTATTTTTTACAAACATTGTAGTAATTTTACACCCATTGTAGTATTTTTACACCCATTGTAGTAATTTTACACCCATTGTAGTATTTTTACACCCATTGTAGTATTGTTTACAAACATTGTAGTAATTTTACTCCCATTGTAGTATTTTTGCAAACATTGTAGTAATTTTACACCCATTGTAGTAATTTTACACCCATTGTAGTATTTTTACACCCATTGTAGTAATTTTACACCCATTGTAGTATTTTTACACCCATTGTAGTAATTTTACACCCATTGTAGTATTGTTTACGAACATTGTAGTAATTTTACACCCATTGTAGTATTTTTATAAACATTATAATATTTTTACACCCATTGGACTTATGTACATCAAATTATCAGATATTTTATAGAGATTTTAATACTGTGTACATATTTTGTGTAATTTTTTTTGGGTTCAGTACCATGATTTTTAATTTCAGTATGGGAAGTTCTAGCAATTTGAATTAAGGCACGATGCCATGCACCCCACTAGTTAATAAAAATGTTTAAAAGATAAATTTGGTTATAATTCTTCTCCCCCAGAACCTGGTTATATATTTCAGAATTCAGGCTGCACTCTGAATCATATTGATAGAGTGGCTCGGCACAC